GGCTGCTGCTATTAGAAGAATACCCTATCTTGAGAACCGCTAAATTTAAACATATAGTATATATAATAAACTCACATTTAAATATCCCTAATTTTAAATTTTACACAAAAATGCAGCACTCCAATTAATTAATCAGAAGCCACACCAAGATGGAATTATTTTTAATTGACAGAGTATTATTCAAAACATACAAAGCCTAATTTTCAATTTCAAAATCTTGCAACTTTTTCCAAAATATTTGATTGGGTTATAACTTTAATAAAATTGTATTTTTGTTTTATCCATTATGTTATGCAGTTTTATTTACATACCACAAAAGTTGAGTTTTCTTGCAATTAAATTTTTAAAGGAATGGATAATTAGCCAGATTAAAAGTAAATTACCTGAATCCATTTAATAAAAGGTTTTTTGTCGTTTTTATTACACATTTAAACAACTAAAGCTTCTCACTATTAGAATATACATTTATGATTTTATTATTATGTACATTATGTTAATAAAATGGAAACAATGCTATTAAATTATTAAGACATGCTTAACGATTCTTTCCAAGTTAACAACAGAACATCACAACAGTAGGGTCATGCCTTACCACATTAATTAATTTAATGTACATTAAAAAAGTAAGAACTTACTCTCAGTTTTCCTGAAAAACCCTTCTTGTCTTTCCTTTATATATAGCACTCCTTCTTTTTCAAATTTTGTTGAAGGTTGAGTAGCAAGAGTGATTAATTCTTGTTTATTAAATCGCATAATTTATTAATTACGTGCACTAGTCATAATTTGGTACCTTAAACCCTGAAAAACGATTTTCATAGTAGTAATCAAATTTTGAATTACATAAATTGCAAAAAATTCTTGAAGTACATACCTATTACAAAAATTGGTCAATATTTTAATAATAAAACTTTTTAAGCAAATTGAGTTGGAGGATTGCAAACATTACATAAAATATGTATTTACCTGCATTGAAAATACAAAATCTGTTTATGTATTCTTTCGTGTAACCTAATTACGTTTATCAAACGTTCTGATAATTGGTTTTCAATATTAAAATTATGATAATGTTTTTTTTTGGATGATTCTTCATTCACATTTTGTTCGTACAGAAATGGTATTTATTTTAAAGGAAATAACTAATTTTTGATAACTTCCCTCCCCAATAAACACTTGCCACACGGATTATCTTAACTTGAAGTTTGCGGCATTACGACCCCTGTCATCATAGACAAGTGTGTCACTGTCATAGATAATAAATACACAAAAAAGGATAACTGTCGGTCACTGACCATAGATTGTTAGTGACTATGGTCACTGATCTGTCTCAAATAGATATTGAATAGAATAGATATTGAACGCAATTCAACTATAGATTGTCCAACGTAAAAACTACAAAAACCAAAATGTATTCAGCACAGAATGAATTAAACGATGTGAATTAATGAATTAAACTGTTAGACAAAATAAAGCAATTCAAATGAAGTCAGTAGTTTTTTAATAATCGTGTTATACTTAGAACTAAAAATTTAAAGTTCAGATTTTTATAAAAGAAATTGGTTATTTTCTGCAGAAGGGCATCTATCCGATAAAATCTTCCTAAAATTTTCATAACAAAAAGTCAAAAAGGTTATCTACGAAACAAAAGAATAAAAGTAATGAGAAAAAATTACTTAGTTTTCTTCTTTAAACAGATAAAGATACCGATCATTTTTTGAAAAGATATTACTGTTTAAAATGCACCTTAAATGCATATTTAAATCAGCTTTCGGTCTGTATTGAAACAGTATAAAAATATTAAACGGTCAGTACAAAAATATCAATAGGTCAGTATAAAAATACTGACTGTATTTATAACACTGACCATTCACACTTAAATATTGACCACCAAAAGAAACTGACCATATGGATTTAAATACTGACCCTACATAATATTCAAATACAGTCTAAAAGGATGGAAAGATTTAAAATACTGTCCAATAAAATAAGTCTTTTTGGTTCCTGCATTATTGGTTGTCTAACTTGCCATTAGTTTTTATTAAAAAATAAAATTATGTATACATAGGTACTGACTGCAATTAAAACAAAAGAAACTGTCTTTCTGTCCCTACGTGGTCTTTTAATTATTTATATATTTATTATTTTATTTATACAATCGTGCTTCGCTCGTGGAAGTTCTGTATTGTTTCTTCATAAAACTCCCCATTCACCCCTATAAAGTTTTATTTTACTCTGTTAATTTTGTTTCCATCTTAGATTCCAAACACACAGCTACCAACTCCATTTCACCCCTTGGGGATTGATTTTTAAAAATTTCCAAAGTACGTAAACATTAAGAGCAATTTTCAAGTAAATTCGACCGCAAACAGAATATGTCTCATACAAATGTTACAACATGTTTTCACAAGTTTTCTTTTCAAAATATGAAAACGTCAATTCGAAATTTTCACATAATTATGAAAAATCCATTCAAACAGCGAGCGCCGAGAAGTCAAGCTTTCATTTTTGGAATGGACAGCAATTGGCATATTTGCTAACCTTAAATTTAAAAAAGTTTTTTTAACTATCTCTCCCTCTTTCAGAAATGCCCTCAAATAATAATATCCAAATTTTTACACTTTAAATTAATGCTCTGGTTGAATCATTGATTTTCTACAATTACCTCAATTTAGTTATTAGAAAGAGGAGACTGTGGTAAATATTAATTAAAAATTAAAAGGAATACTCACCCCTAATTACCACAAATAATTTTATTTGAGTCTCGCGTTGATAATGCTCACGTATGAAGTGGGCGAAACACGTGTCCGCTCAAATAAAATTATTTGTGGTAATTAGGGGTGAGTATTCCTCTTAATTTTTAATTACCTCAATATTCTGTTAACAAGAAAATGCCTATTACATACAAAGAAACAGACGCGCGCCAAAGAAATTGCATTTAATTCTAATCTATTTCAAATATTGTATTAAAAAATTTGATAGTCATAAAAAAACTTCTTAAATGCATTCGCTACTGTAATAAGGGCAATTAAATAAATAAAATAATAACGACGATTTCTTTTGAAACATGTCGTGAATACATTTTCCTTGAAAAAAAAAATTACCAATAGTAGTAACTCAATCGAAAAAACCAAACGAAATTTCAAAGTTGAAGTTAAGTTCCAAGCAGTTAAAAACAAATAAATGTACATAAATTATGATATGGCAATGGAAAAATTGTATGGGTCAGTTTGTTTTTAGTTGGCGTGATTGACATACATACATGAGCACGCTTATATTATCTAAATCCGTTCACCCTTGCTACGGTTCGTATTATAAAGTTTTTTCTTACGTTGAAAACAATCGAATGAATGAATTATAATAATAATTATTACGAAAGGTAACCGATTTCCTTAAAGATTCAGTAAACCAATAAAATAAGTAACGATTATGTGGTTTTTCTGACGTAAAATATAATAAAGTAGTAATTTAGAAATGCAGTTCTCCTTCAAAAACGATAAACTTACGATAAACTTAGATAAACTATAAAATGATCAACTTTCGAATTCTTCGAGATGTTTCTCATTGTTATATTCAACTATGGATGTCTCTATATCAACTTTAGTGAATAAATTGTTATTGTTTTGTGATTTATTATTGAACGGTTATTGGTTATTCTTCAATGTGGTAAGTGCAATTACATAATCATTAAATATCTGCTTACTATTCACGAATACGTATAATACTTGTTTGCGATCAACATTTTTTTTCACAATTCTAGTAAGATCAACTAAACTTTCTATGATTGCGAATCTTAAGCATTTTTTTCTTACTTATTTTACTTTTAATATGAATTGAATAAACATTTTATTATTTTGTTTAAATAATATCCATTAGAAATGTTCCCTTGATGTTAAAAAAACTTCTAGAATATTTAAATGAATGAAATTACTGTAAACAATTCTGAGTATTTTTAGTCAATGAAGCTAAAACCGGTAAAAACTGTGCCGATTTTTGTATGGATTAACATTAATTAATTGTCAATAATTAAATCACTAAGTATTGGTTATTAATCCACATACAATTTAAAAAAATATTTCTTTAATTTAAGGAAACAAAAACTTTTACATTTTATTCTGGTTTCAATTTAAAACAAATCANTTATTGTTAATTAATACAACACATGTTTTACTTTGAATTAATACAATTCAAGGTTTTTTAGTTGTTCAATTGAATAAAACAATAAGCCAAAAGGGTGATTTCAATTAAATTTTTCTGAATTCGTTAATAAAGGAGAATTTCCCAAAAACCACACATGTATAAGATCTAAATGTTTTACGTGGTGGGCGCTACGGTGTTATCGGCGAATGATGAGGATATCGTGGATAGAGAAGGTTGGAAATGAAGAGACATTAGAAAGAATAAGAGAAATAGGCGAGATAGGTTGGTATGACACCTTCTCAGGCACGAAGGTCTAGTCAGGGACATATTAGAGGAAGAAACAGTAGTTGAGAAGAGACCTAGATTAAATTCATTATCATTATAAGATCGTCAGTCCTAAGACTGATTGGACACGCATCTCCATCTTCCCTCCTATCCTGAGCTAATCTTCGCATTTCGCTAAAACTAGAACATCCTACATCCTTAACTATTTGCAAAACGTGATGTAATCTAGGTCTACTTCTACTCCTCTTAAGTCCTGTTTCTGTCTTTAATATATCTCTGACTAGACCTTCATGTCTGAGAAGGTGTCCTATCAACCTATCTCGCCTATTTCTTATTGACTTCCATAGAGTCCTCTGTTCTCCTACTCTTTCTAATACTTCTTAATTTCTAACCTTCTCTGTTCACTAATAGTTAAGGTTGTGCGATGTTCTAGTTTTAGGGAAATGCGAAGATTAACTTAGGATAGGAAGAAGTGAAGGTGGTTATCCTACAAGTCCTAGGACTGAAGATTCTATGATAATGATGAATGAAACTCCTTGTAAGAGAAACAGGATCATCATCATAAGGTCGTCAGTCGTAAGATGTCCTACTAGCCTATCTCGCCTATTTCTTATTGGCTTCCTTAGAGTCCTCTGTTCTCCTACTCTTTCTAATACCTCTTCATTTCTAATTTTTTCTATCCACAGATCCTCATCATTCGCATGTAACACCATATTTCGATCGCTTCTTCTAATCTTTTTTTTTTCGCCGCGCCCACTGTCCATGTTTCGCAGCCGTACAACGCCGCGCTCCAAATATACACCTTTAACAACCTTTTTCGAGTGTCTAAATTAACCGTTCGCGAGCAAAGAAGTGAGTTCTTTTTATTGAAGGCGACTCGACCCTGCGCTATCCTCGGCTTTATATCCTTACTACTCCTTCCATCTTGACTTATTTGACTTCCTAGATACCTAAAATCGGCCACTTTTTCTAACTTTTCGTCTTCTACCTTTATATTCGCCCTTTCCCTACTTTTTCTTCCCTTGCATACCAGTGTTTTTGTTTTAGCTTGAATGTCCTTTAGGAAATATAAGTTCATGTATTATTCCCATTTAATCTAAAAAGGATCTATGTATAACTGATTTGTCCGAGCTTAGGGGAATTTAAACATACTCGAATAAACCAAGAAAAATCTTCGACACTCGATTAAATACTTATAAGTTTGGTTTTTATTTGTAATGGTGAAACTAAAACATTGTATCATGATAATAAGGCCATTAAAACAAAACTGCGCAAAAAATATTTTTTTTCTGTACATATTGACGTAGGAAATATGTACGGCAACATGTAATAGTACTTACATTTATCGTTTAACATTTAATGCAATTCATACATATATAATTTTATCTACAATACCAGTTTTGCTATACTATTGTGGTTAAGGATGAGTCATTTAAAAAGAATCGAACTTAAGTGCAGTTTAGATTTTTTTCTAATTTATTGTGGAATTGCCATGGACAAGTGAGTAAAAGTAGATCTTCTTATACTTTGAGCATCAGAAACATAAATTAACCAAAATCCAAGTAATTTAACAGTTTTCTTTCATTAACTGTAATCAAATGTTTTTAAAATATTTATTGAAATAAAGTAAGTCAAAAATTGTTATAGACATAATAATTAAATAAATCAATTTCTTGCATCGCAATTTCTACAGCTACACCTGCTCAGTGAAATTATAAGGTAGTAAATGACTTGGTTGGTTATATAGTTTGATTTCATATGGTGACTGACTTTCCAGTATTTTTTCTAATGAAAATTAATTTTACAAGTAGAAATATATCTTCTAAAATAACATTTAATAAGACATTAAAATAAAATTAACTATTTGTTCGTAAGATTCTACTTTTTATGGGATTCCACACTTTCATTCATTCTAATAACTGACGCCCTTAATAAAGTTTAAGATTTATAGTAAAATTTGTGAATTCATCAGTCATCCTTCAGGCAGAATATTACGTATTTCACTTTTATGGAATTTATTTAGGTAGGTACGAGTCCCATTTGTGTCCCACTTTACTGGGATTTCCTAGTAAGACTAAACGATTTATAAAAAAATCTTTTTGATATAGGTCTTTACTAGCATTGTAGATATTTTATTATTTAAGTTAGCAACAAGATTAATAATCATATAGACCGAAACAATATTGTAGGGCACAAGAAACTCTTTCTGATACCTCTTCATTTCTAATCTTCTTTATCCACTGTATCCTTATCATTAGCCGGTAACACCATATTTCGAATACTTCTAACCTTTTCTTTTCTGCCGCGCCCACCGTCCATGTTTCGCACCCAGAGAGTGCCTTGTTCTAAACATACATCTTTAACAATCTTTTTCGAATTTCTAAATTAATCGTCAAATCCTCAAATTTTCCTTTTTTGCCTCATGGTTTCATTCTTCCATTCATTCCACGCTCCAACTCGTGAAATATTGTACTTTCCCCTATTACACTTAATGATGACATCCCCCGAGGTAGTAGTTCCCACCTGGATATCCGAATGGGGGACTAGTTAACGTCTAGAGTACTTAACCCCAGAGGACGCCATCATTCGAGTTTGGTGTGTTTTTCTTGGGATATCATAATGTAATGGTTTCCCGTTGCCTTCCACATCGCAGTGCATGAGTGCCATACCGATCCTCGCGATCTCTGCCACCCTGGCTACTGAAAGAGCTGCTGTCCTCCTTCAGGGACTTGTCTTAGTTTGGTTCCATTTTAAGAACCCCCTCATTATGTTTGAACCTATGATCCGGCTCTCAATCATCGAAACTCGCAAGCCGGTCCACCCACTCTAGTTTGTACCCTTATTCTAATTATATTAATTTAGTAGTTGCCCTTGTAAGCTACTTTATATCGTAGCACAGCTCGATACATGGTGATGTCTCGTTTACATAACAAGTAATTCGTAACCTAATAAAAGCGATAGTTCTTCCTCATTTCGGACGAGAAAGTCGAGACGTCAAAAATATAATAAACTTGTCGATAATAATATCGGAGATTTTTCTTAATTATTATTCTCGTTGTCACCGTTGGCAACCCTTCATTACGAAGCTGCTGTACAGACAGACGACACCTGAGGCTCATCTTCGACGTCGCCGCCGGTCTCATCGTCGTCGTACACATTTTTGCTGAGCATATTTCCTTTCGAAAAGAAATAGCAACGGCACCATGCGAATTTCTACCTTTCTTGTCCAATACGTATCGCATTACTGCAATAAACGTGTTTTATTCGATTAAGGTCGAGTTACATAACAGGCCATTACGGCACGTTAGAGCGTAGGTCTTAGAAATGCGGTTCATCACTCACAATTGAATACGACGTCAAATGAAAACTCATTTCACTTTAATTAATACATTACCGACCACCGTTTTAAATATTGCGTTAATGTCGCACAATGACAAAAAACATTCATTGTCCGTCGACACTTGATAATGTTGCAAAAAGAAACAATAATACTTCATTCAATGGACGAAGTTTTTAATTTTTAAGTAGCTCCGTTATAAGAAACGAAATAAATATAGAGTTGAAGTTATAAAACTTTGTTGTCAACATAATTATTACTTCAGAATACTGCGGCTTCTGGAGACGGAAGAAGTAATAAACGCTTTTCAAATTTTATTAAAGCAAAATAAATATAAAAATAGCGAATTATAAAGAAACAAAAACAATCATTACAGAAAAGAAACCCTGTAGTATCTCGCTGGTGTAATACACATATACCATAATAATAGAGCGAAGAATTTTGTTCAATAGCTGAGTCTTTTGAATACATAAACACATTTATTGCTGTTTATATATTTTTCTTCACAAGATAGAAATTTAGTTAATTGGACAACTCTGTCATATTTCCGAATAGAATATAAGTAGGGCTGCGATCTGAATCAGATCAGACAGCCCAATCGTTCTATTCGAGCTCAAAAAGGAAAGTTTGATCAGAACCGCACCAAGTACTACGTCTGTTCAAGTAGGTATCGCGAATTTTGTATTTTTTCAAAAATTATTTATTTACTTATGAATATCTATTTTGCCCCCTTCAAAGTAATCCCCACCAAACTTGCGCCAACGTTTTTTCTAATCCTCGAAGCACTTCAAAAAAACATTTTTTTTGATCTTCAATATTAATTTGAAATCATTTTTTCGATTTTTTACTTACCCACTACAAACTGCCTCAAATTAATGAGGAAAAAAATTGTTGCTGTTGTCAC